GACCCCATTAAATAGGATTTTTTTAAACTGAGTAAACCGACTGCCCTCATGTTGCAAAAATGGACTTATTAGGGGTGGTTTCGGAGCACATCTGCCAGAGAGGTAAGGAACCAACAGTCTGCTCACAAATAAGCCGAATAACCTGTAAAATAAATGTGCATGCAAACAAGTTCTGGAACAAAACTTAAGTCCAGAAGTGGACGAACAACCAGAACTTCTGCCGGAGTTTACAGCCAGTGAACACGAAGAAGAAGAAGAAGAGTTATGAAATTTGTTAATAACTCCCTCTCCCTCGGAGTCTCTCGTTACGGGATCGTCAGGAACCATCCCTAGTGATCTGCAAAATTTGCGCTTAGGAACAGAACCCCCACCTTTCTCAAACAGTCCCATGACTTTCAGAGTGTGAAGCAAATGGCTTAACTGTATGAGTCCCAGATAGGTTTCACTTTAACTTGTGACACCTTTAGATACGATGGAGGTGATGGCAGTGACGCAAGCGTTCAACAGGCTCAAAACACAAAACTTTCAGAGTGTGAAGCAAATGGCTAAACTGTATGAGTCCCAGATAGGTTTCACTTTAACTTGTGACACCTTTAGATATGATGGAGGTGATGGCAGTGATGCAAGCGTTCAACAGGCTCAAAACACAAAACAACACCGGTGAATGTGTACTTAGTGATTCAATGAGTATGATCTGGAGGGTTCAGACAGGTTCAGTGCGAAGGCAGTTGCTTGAATAATTACAGAAGTTTGCTGAGCGTGGAGTAACGTTTATTTTCATCCTGGGATCTACGCGCGTTGATAGAAATGAAAGAGCTGATAGGTTGGCTAGACCCACTATTACTACCGATGGTCAGCCTATGGATCGTGCTGATATTATCAATGTTAATCATGCCCTCTGAGAAAAAGGAAGGGTGTAGAACTTTGGGGGCAGTGAATCCACATCACTTGCCAGAATGTTAGAATTGGGAGTTAAGATCGGCATGGCAAAAAAACGAGACGCACACCAGGCACATCAAAGGACTTGTTAATCAACGTAGAACTGGTACTATTAGCCACCGTATGCTGGGGCTCATACTGAGGGAAGGATCTGAGCACCTATGGACTAACCCTAACTCACTCACTCACTGGGTTAAAATGGACGCTAGACAGAGGCAAATTTTTTGCTTCTGCCGGACGGTGGCCGAAGTATTTTTGCTCCATTTGTAGACTGGATATAGTTTCGTCGCCCAGCTTCTGAGTTGAATGCATGACGTGACCCTGTGAGCTGTGGATTGCATTTGGAATTTCTTTTTTCGACTGTGACCAACGTGGTGTGAATTGTAGATTCAGAAAATGGCGCGATGCCTGTCGTGCAATGCTGGCGGGGCCCGTATTAAAATTGATCGCGCGGGCAACTGCTGATTTGTTGGCGACAAGTTCTGCTATTATCAATGATGAACTGCATTTCTAATGTTGGACTGTTTGTGTTAGCACTTCGGATGGCTACCATATGCTTTAATGCGAGTGTATGCTAGATATGCTGAGACAGCAGTCTGTCAATTTTTCCACAAGGGACTGTGATAGACATTCTGAGTGTTTTTCGCTGGCACAGGAGCGGAGCAAAGATGGGGCGACCCGTTTGCTATGAAGCTGAAACTAAGACTACCAGACTACCAGACCACTCACTCACTGACTCACTGACACTCACTCACTCACTCATGCATGCACACATTAACGCACTAACTCACTAATGAACATCTTTAGATGTAAAAACAAAAACATTGTGAGTTCCTGAAAGAGTTTACCATTTCATGATGGAGGTATAGGGAAGTACAAGTAAAGGACTTTTTTGGTGTGCCCTGAGAAATGTTGGCCATATGGTGCTAGTAGACATTTTTTCATTGACCTGTTGGTGCTCGAAAAAAAACAATTGGCACTCAGTTTGAAAACAAAAAAAGTCTTAGATGAATCTTTACACTCCTCAAAGATTCTAACAGTGGGGAATGGAGATGAGAAGCAAGATCGAAAGCAACTATGAAATTTGTAATCTGTTTAAAGCAGCTTTGATCATTGGCATCTTGGGGCCTAATAGACTGAACTGGCTGGGCCTTATAGAGAGAATGGCAGATGATAGAGGGGCAAAAACTGTGTACACAAGTGAGTTGATCAAGAAGACAGGGGAGAGATCATATCCAGGTAGACCTACAAATGCTTGGAGCCACCAGCTAGAAAGAGAGGGACAGTCATGGAGATTGATGGAGGCAGGTGATATCTGCAGCAATGAACCTCAAGAGCATCATTACGGTCTGAGGAGAATGGCACTGCGAGGAGTTACAAGGGGATCTGGCCGACGCTCGACACTCAGGGAAAAGGCGAGACAGATATACAATCAGACAGTACCATCGGAATTTTAAATCTTCGTTTGCTGCTGAAGATGGGGACGGAGCGCTTATGGGGGTGTCCCGAGTGCTGTGATGTCAATTCCTAATTCAGTATTTAACACTTAACATTAAACCTCAAGGGCTTGGAATGCTGAAGAAAAATGTACGCTTCATGGGTGGTACAGTGGGTTCTAATTTTTAATTGCTCTGTTTTAAAAGCCATTGTATGAAATATATGTATTTAAATACCCTGTGCTATTCATATGTTTTATTCAGTTTTGTCTACCAGTACCCAGCATGCTGCATAAAAAACTGTTATCTTTTTTAGTTATTTGTGCACAATTGCTTGCCTGTTTGTTTGCACCCTACTGTTTTTCTTTGCTCGGCCAGTAAATTGCATGCCATTTCTAAGTTCACACTGTAGCTAGTTGTTTGTATGCCCACCCAGAAAATCATAATTGAATGCAACACAAGATTATACTTATAAATATTAATTTATTTTATTAAGTTGGTTAGGTCACTAAATATGCTTATAAAAGTTGCAGTATATTGCCCATTAATCTGATGACTAAACTTTGCTGATAATATCATAATATAATGTCCTGTTGGTCAAAATGCTGAAGTTTGCTAATAAGTATTGCATTTTATTGTCTAGTTGGTCAGATTGCTGAATTTTGATTTTAAACATTGGCTTATATTATTCATTTGGTCAGCACACTGAATTGTGCCAATAAATGTTGCATTATATTGTATAATCTGTCAAAATTCTGAATTTTTGAATAAATTTTGCATTTTATTGTCCAGTTAGTCTGCACTTAATTTTGCTTATAAAAATTGGCTTACATTATCCAGGTGGTCAGCACACTGAACTAATGTTTAAATAAGGAAACAACACCGCAGCACTCAGGATATTCTCATAAGCACTCAGTCCCCATCTTCAGCAGCAAGCGGAGAGTACCAATCCCAGTGGTACCAGTAGCAGTCTGATTGTATGTCCATCTAACCTTTTCCCTGAATGTTGATCGTCGACCGCATCCCCTGGTCACTTCTCACAGCACCCTTCTCTTCAGACCAGGATGATCCATCTGAAACTCCTCACTATCCACTCGCCCCCAAAGGGCTCAAATAACATCTAGCTTATTGTGCATCATGTGATCACCAGGTTGTGCAGAACCAGCCAGTCTATCTGCCTGTTCATTTCCTAATGCACCAGCATTCCCTGGGAAAAGTATACAAAGAGCACTAACTATCCGAGACCTCTGAAGCAAGGTTTGCCACTCTTCATGGACAAAACTGGTCTTCACCTTTCTCAGCATGCTCTGTGAGTCGGTTACCATTACAACATGTGTGTAGAGCTGATTCTGAAGCCAGCGAAAGGTTGCAGTTGCCTCCACCTCTACTGTCAAACTGGATGTTGTGGTGTCATATGCCAGGCTTTGTTGCACTAAGTAACGTTCATTTACTTTTGCTAAGAAACCCCATGAACTTAATCTGCCTTTCAACACAGAGTCACCTGTATAGATTATCACATCACCTGGGCGTGAATTGCCATGAATCAATTGTTGAACTTCTGATTCTGCAGCACCAGCTGGCCAGTCCCTGCACTCGTGGCCCAGTGTGATCAGAACCCTACACAGGTGTGACTTTTGTTAGGACATTCTTACCTACTCTTCTCCTTGCCCAATCTTATCTATCAAGGATACACACTTGTCTAATTATGTCTTCAGCTTGCGCCGTCCAAGACCTTCCTCATTTCAGTCTGTGATCCTTAGCTCTGTCTTGGACCTCATGCTGAAATTGTTTATTATCTGTGGTTACTTGAACACGGAACATTGCTTATAAACAAATGATTTTATTTTCTGGTTGGCCAGATCACTAAATTGTGTTTATAAACATTGGCTTACATTACCAGAATACTGAACTTTTGCTTATAAACATTGGCTTACATTATCAGAACACTGAACTTTGCTTATAAACATTGGCTTACATTATCAAAACTTTGCTTATAAACATATGATTTTATTATCCAGTTAGTCAGAACACTGCATTTTTCTTATTTAATTTGGCAATATTTTTGTTTTATATTTAGAATACAAGTAATATATGAGACTATTGCATGACTTAATTTCAGTGTCTTAAAAGTGAAGGCTGATAAAGAATAATAAGGATACAGTGTTTTAACTGGACCTGTATTTTCCTGTACTGCCAGGCACATGAAGGTTATATGATCGGGCTTGTGTCAGCTGCTTTTTCTGTCCCAGATCTTTAGTATTCATCTGAGTTGTCGGTAGGGAAACAACTAGGTTAAAGTCTACTTCCAAAGCTTGATGGGTGTAACACAGCTCCACTGCCTTGGTAGTGACTGAATTAACCACTTTGCCACATCAGTTCTTCATCTTAGTTTGATACAAATTACAAATCTGAAAGATTGGACTACAAAAACGAGGAGAAGGCAGATTAAATTTACTGTAAAAGACCAGATAAATTGTGTTTTTAATTGTGCGAACCCAAAGTCTGTTCTGATGTATGTCACGACTGTTAGATTTCTGATCTTTATGAAGATTGTTTTTTTTTAAATTTCATTTTTTTAAAATACTGTTTACTGAAACTTGTTTGTCTTTCTCTCAATTTTTACAGATATTCCAATGGGGTGGCCACACCAGAAAGATTTGTCAGAACCCGACTGTACTTTACAAGCGAGAGCCATATACATTCTTTACTAGCTATGCTACGCTATGGAGGATTTTTAGATGTAAGCCTTTTATTATTGTTGTTGTTGTTGTTGTTAGATACTTAGGCACCAGTTAATGAACATTTGCAGTAGATTTTGATCAGTGATTGTTATGCAACGTGATGATGATTATGTGTTGTATCCAGTATCGGAATGATTCCCTTTGATGTCAGTTCGAAATTCAGCTTAACTTTACCACCACAAAATTACATCATGATTATTGTGCACTTGAATAGACAAGGATCAAAGAGATCCAGGGCTTTAGATGTCTGATCTTTCCTACAGTGGAGCTTACCAGCTGTTCTGCCTTGAGAGCTTGGTCTAGTACTGTGAGTACTTGTACCTTTAGGGTGAAAAGAGCATACTTAGGTCGTAAGTCCCTTGATCAGGAAAACTCTTCTACAGTCAAGACCATTGTGTGTGACCGAAGTGGCATAAAATACAACGAATCTAGAGCAGACAACCTTGATAAAAAAAACGTAAGCCTACGGTGGACCTACATGCATATTGGCTGAATGACGATGGGTTATACAGTCGTAAACGTGGAACTCTGGTTAGCGGGTCCCATTTTTAACTTCAAACTTCACTCTCTAGCTTCCTTTTCCATGTTTTTTGTTGTTGGGGGGGGGGTCTCTTCCTTTATTTGTATGCCCCTGTGGGTTCAATTTGCAAAGACATTCTAGTTGTACTGTTATCAGGTTTATCCACCGTGTGTCCTATCCAAATACCATTGCGTTTTCTTCACCTCTTAGCCCACTGAAACTTGTTTATTTCTCTCTCAAAGCTCAATATTAGTAATTCTGTCATACCATTTAAAGCCCTCTATTATGCACAGGCACCAGTTAATGAATCTTCTTCTTCTTCTTGTTTACATTCAGCAGCTGTAAACTATGGCGGAAAGTTCTGGTTGTTTGTCCCCCGTCACGAGACGCTGCTTCAAGTAGACAACAATACCTTGAATGACGTACCACCCATTTTGAACCTTTGATTTTTCTCTCTTGGCTATGTCAAGAGTGATGTCATTTTATTGAGAGATGACATAGAGGGATATCCCTATGTGTATACGGGTGCTGTTTGGGAAATTTTCAGTTCATCTAGTTTGCAATTTCCTGGCACATTACAGCCCATCTATTTCATGTACAGAATAACTTCTAGTATCCACCTACTTTGTGGCAAAAATCTGGCTACCAATTGTTATCAGCTGGTACACGGACTATCGTCATTCACTTCCGGTCACTAGCAGAGGCGAGAGTGAAGTTCTAAAAAATAAAACTTTAACTTTGTCCAAGCCGCCTATAATCCTAGCAGTATGGCCGAACACACTGTATATAGTCTTACATCTACATCTAGGTTAGCACAATAATGACTACATACATCGTGATTTCTTTTTCGGGGCCGTATTTCGCCTCCTATCTTAGCACTGCATCTACTGGTGAAAGATCATGAGGCATTCATTTACGCCGCTGAAACGTGGGTCTAAAACTCAATCTTTGAGATATGATTCCTATCTTTGTGTATCCAGGGTGCCATTCCTATTTACTTTACCTAGGACTTTTAGGAGATTATCCATCTTTTACTGCATGTACAGAAACGATCTATGACTGTTTATTATGGTTTGTGTACTCACTGGTAACATTTCATTAGACCACAGTGTTACAATATAAACAATGGACTAAAATATTGCACTAGAAACAGTAGACTGAAGTATTACACTTCTTATTCTTCTCTTCCACCGTTTACCTAAGTGAGGTGTTGGGGGAAGATGTAAGGATCGATTGCGTGCTTTTTCCAATCCATTATACAAGTTGGTGTTCATTTCTGTTAGGTTGCCCCTGATGTTGTCAGTCCATGCCTTGTATGGTCTTCCTCTTGCTCTGTGTTCATTATATTTCTTCAGCCTGGCTCTCTGTGGCAGCTGGTACCAGGGCATTCTCGTCAGGTGGCCAAACCATTTCTTTTATTGTTCTTTAATGAATTTTATGACTGGTTTCAGTCCTAGTCTTCTAATTTATTTGTTCTTGATTTTATTTCTTCTTGTCACATTGGCAACTCTCTTAAGACATCTCATCTCTGTTGTTATGATCTTCCATTCGTTAGTTGTAGTAAGGGTCCATGTTTGGCACCGGTAACACAATGCCAGCCAAAAAAAACCGTTCTTATGAGATTTGTTTTGGTTGATAGCTTTTAATACTTGGTCGTCTGCAAATAACAATTCTGAGATATTCTTTTCTTCACTCTCAGCTTCTTTGCATATATTGTCGATGTATGTTATAAAAAGCAGGGGAGATAGCACACATCCCTGTCTTACTCCTGAATTTACTTCAAAAGGTTGTGATGTACCTACTATTACACTAGAAACTATCAATTGATATGTTGGATAGTGAACATGGGTAACACCAAATGTACTCAAATTAAAGCCGTGATCTAATTTTCTTTTCAGGAAGAGAAGGACGAGCAATGGAAAAGGTCAATGGACTTCATTGGAGCATGTGCTGAGCTGAACTACATGTCACAGATAGTGCTTATGATGTTTGAGGATCCTGCCCAGGTGAGTTCACACAGTTTCAATTAGACTTTCCTTTACTATGCACAAGAGTTCACACAGTGGTTTTTCTAAGTTTAACTTTCCTTTACTATGCGAGTGAGTTCACACAATAGTTTTTTTTTTTTTTTTTTTAGGTAACCTTCCTTTACTGTATAGTTGAATTAACATAGTGGTTCATTTAGTCAAACTTTACTATACGTGTGAGTTAGTTAGTACGGTGGGTTTTATTAATTAACCATCCTTTTTCTTTATAGATGAGTTCACACAGACAGTAATTTTCAGTTTACTTTCTATTAGATCCCTAGTAAATTCACACAGACGACATTTGTGATTTAATTTTCCTCAAGCACCCAGGTAAGTTCGGACAGACAAAAGTCAATAAAAATTTTGTTTGTGTCCACGTGAGTTAGTTCACACACAGAGATTTTTTTAATTAAACTTTTTTTTTCAGTGTACATGTGAGTTCACATAGACAATAGTTTTTAATGTACTGTCCATTAGATCCCTGGAAAATACCCCCATATAGCAGATGTCATGTAATGGTTCTGTATATTCCTGGTAAGATAGCAGATGTCATGTAATTGTTCTGTATATTCCTGGTAAGATAGCAGATGTCATGTAATTGTTCTGTATATTCCTGGTGAGATAGCAGATGTCATGTAATTGTTCTGTATATTCCTGGTAAGATAGCAGATGTCATGTAATGGTTCTGTATATTCCTGGTAAGATAGCAGATGTCATGTAATTGTTCTGTATATTCCTGGTGAGATAGCAGATGTCATGTAATTGTTCTGTATATTCCTGGTAAGATAGCAGATGTCATGTAATTGTTCTGTATATTCCTGGTAAGATAGCAGATGTCATGTAATTGTTCTGTATATTCCTGGTAAGATAGCAGATGTCATGTAATTGTTCTGTATATTCCTGGTGAGATAGCAGATGTCATGTAATGGTTCTGTATATTCCTGGTGAGATAGCAGATGTCAGGTAATGGTTCTGTATATTCCTTGTGAGATAGCAGATGTCATGTAATGGTTCGGTATATTCCTGGTGAGATAGCAGATGTCATGTAATTGTTCTGTATATTCCTGGTGAGATAGCAGATGTCATGTAATGGTTCTGTATATTCCTGGTGAGTCCACACAGTCAATAGTTTTTAGATAACTTTTCTTTGTTGCTAATTGACATTTGTCAGTTAAGATTCCTGTTTTTGCCCATGATCATAAAGGCAATAGTTGTCAGTTAACTGTCCTTTATTGCAGACAGAAGTTGTCAGTTAACTGTCCTTTATTGCAGACAGAAGTTGTCAGTTAACTGTCCTTTATTGCAGACAGAAGTTGTCAGTTAACTGTCCTTTATTGCAGACAGAAGTTGTCAGTTAACTTTTCTTTAGCACCTAGCTGAATATGCACAGACAGAATTGTCATTTAGCTTTTCTTTATTGTCCATGTGAGTTTACAGTCAAAAGTTATTAGTTAACTCTTTTGTTGTGGCCAAGATGCGTAAATAGAGACAAAAGATGTCAGTTACTTTTTGTTGTTGTCTAGATGCAACCAAGCAGGTGACTAATTAGATGTTTGTTGAAATCAGATGGGTTGGACCGAAAAGTGCAGATATCGCAGCCTAGCTGTAAACTCTTACAACCACCTTTTCAAGGGTGAACAGAAAAGAAGTCTAAATCTTCACAAGATCATTAACAACTGTCTCCCAAAACCTCCCCATGTGGGTTCCAGGGCCCTATTATGGGGGGGGGGGGGGGGGGGGGTCGAGAACAGACCCACTGCCTACCCAAAAGCATGTCATAAATAATTAGGAGCTTCCTTCGAAGTCAGAGTGCATCTGCCTGAGAAGCCAGGAACCTGCAGTTTGCATACAAATGAGTCAGATCTGTAAAACAGATGCACATGCAACACAGATTCTGGAACAGGACTGCAGTCCAAAAGTGGATGAACAACCAGAACTTTCCACCAGTGTTTACAGCTGGTGAAGAAGAAGCAGGCCCCCCCCTCCCCCCCCCCCCCCCCCAAAAACAAACAAAAACTTCCACTTACTCCCTGTATTTACTGCATGTGTGGTTTAGGCAAGGGGTCTCTCAGTCTGAGTATTTAGGGCCACAATGATAGTGCTGTCGCCACAAACTGTGTATGTTATGTTTAATTTTGCCGTGATATACAAAAAATCCAGGACTTTACCGAAGACTCAAACCTGGGTCTCTGAATGAGAGCCCAGCATTCTTAACCATGCGGCCAGCTGGTTTTTCTCCATTATAAAACATTAGCAATAATAAACATTTCTTCTTAAAGACACACAACTTATAAAAACCCCACCAGCTTGGAAAGTTACAGTGGCCGAGTAAGAGTCAGACAGCAATACAGACTGACTGACTTTCTACCCCACCAGGACATCACACAAGTGACAAACACCCGGCAGACACAAAGTGCCACCATGTGGATAAGGATCACTGCGGAGAGGTCCCAGTAACCGCATTCAGACAATTGGCCATATTTAAGGCCTGCCTATATTTCGGCCCCTGGCAAAAGCCAGGGTGGGGCTTCAAATAACAATAAATAAGGATTGACAGCAATACAGAAAGGATGGTAACATTAAGAGATGGGTAGGCAACACTCTTAGAGAATGTACAGCCAGTACAAGAGACAAGTGAGTGTTGGAGATCCAATGCAAGTCAACCTTCATTGACAAGATGACACCATGATTGATTGCGACATTCCTGTCTGTTGCACAGAATGAAGACTCTGATGATAGATTCCACATAGAGCTCCACTTCAGTCCTGGGGCATACACATCTTGTGATGAGATGGCCGCTGAACCGAAAGGCATGGGCTTCAGACCCAAGCCCAACAGGGAGGCTAACAGTGTAAGTGTTTATGTAAATTTAATGGTAACACACAGTGACTAGATCTTAACTATTAAAAAAGTAACAGATAATGTATTGATTGGCACTGATAGAAAGAAGAACAGAGATAGAAGAACACACTAGACAACATAAAAATCAAAAGCTGTAGTTACCATGCATGGAATCTAACCTGTCACCTCCAGCGGGTTGACCATGTTCTTAGTACACTTGTTTCCATAGCGAGACGCACATGCCGTCTGGAGGTGACAGGTTTGATTCCTGGCATGGTAACTATAGCTTTTGATTTTTATGTTGTCTAATGTGTTCTTCTATCTTTTTACTTCTTCTATCAATACATTGTCTGTTACTTTCATAATATAGAATATTTAGTGCCCTAAAGGGTTTCCCCTCTGTTTATTTATGTGAACTATATCTTAAATAGGGAGGTTACAAATTGCATTGTAAAACTATTTTGTCTTCCAGTATTGGCTCTTTGGAGCTGTTTGTGAAGGAGGGAAATGTCATGTGTTGTTGTCAGTACAGTAGGAATGTGTTTACATGTGTGTAGGATAGCATGTGTTGATGTCAGTAGAGTATGAATGTTTTGACATGTGTGTGGAATAGCATGTGTTGATGTCAGTACAGTATGAATGTATTGACATGTGTGTGAGATAGCATGTGTTGATGTCAGGATAGTATGAATGTGTTTATATGTGTGTGGGATAGTGTGTGTTGATGTCAGTATAATATTAATAAATATTCATGTGTGTGGGATAGCATGAGTTGTTGTCAGTACAATATGAATATGTTTACATGTGTGTGGGATAGCATTTGTTGATGTCAGTACAGTATAAATGTATTGAAATGTGTGTGGGATAGCATGTGTTGATGTCAGTACAGTATAAATGTGTTTACATGTGTGTGAGATAGCATGTGTTGATGTCAGTAGAGTATGAATGTGTTGACATGTGTGTGGGATAGCATGTGTTGATGTCAGTAGAGTATGAATGTGTTGACATGTGTGTGGGATAGCATGTGTTGATGTCAGTAGAGTATGAATGTGTTGACATGTGTGTGGGATAGCATGTGTGGATGTCAGTACAGTATGAATGTATTGACATGTTTGTAGGATAGCATGTGTGGATGTCAGTAGAGTATGAATGTGTTGACATGTGTGTAGGATAGCATGTGTTGATGTCAGTACAGTATGAATAGATTGAGTTGTGTGAGGGACATCATGTGTTGATGTCAGTAGAGTATGAATGTATTGACATGTGTGTTGAATAGCATGTGTTGATGTCAGTACAGTATGAATAGATTGAGTTGTGTGTAGGACATCATGTGTTGATGTCAGTACAGTATGAATAGATTGAGTTGTGTGTAGGACATCATGTGTTGATGTCAGTTCAGTATGAATAGATTGAGTTGTGTGAGGGACATCCTGTGTTGATGTCAGTACAATATGAATGTATTGACATGTGTGTGGGATAGCATGTGTTGATGTCAGTTCAGCATGAATATACTGAGTTGTGTGTGGGACATCATGTGTTGATGTCAGTTCAGTGTGAATAAATTGGGTTGTGTGTGGGATATCATGTATCTTCCAATATGAATGTGTTTAAAAGTATCATCTGTTGGAGACATCACCAGGTTACATTTTAATATTTGACCCAGCCTAAAAAAAAAAAATTCTGATAAGTAAAAGTGACCAGAATGATACGACTCCATCTCCCATATAACGGACTCCATCTCCCATATAACGGACTCCATCTCCCATATAACGTCAGTTGGTATCTAAGTAAAAGTGACCAGAATGATACGACTCCATCTCCCATATAACGTCAGTTGGTATCTAAGTAAAAGTGACCAGAATGATACGACTCCATCTCCCATATAATGTCAGTTGGTATCTAAGTAAAAGACCGTCTTCATGCCATCAGGGTATTGAGCATAATGGACCAAATGTGCAGATGTGTGACTTGTATTGCTGGCTCACTTTCTCTGGTGCTCTGTAATTGCAGTGCATGGAGTCTCTATGGGTCAAATGTATTTTAACTGTAGCCGTTGTATAGTGACTTACCTGAATGTAAGAATATGAGCATTTGAATATATTACGATATTTCTTTCTTTTCCATGAGTGGGAAAAGTTTATACCTGTTTTTATACATGCTCTTAGACTAGGAATCATGCTTACACATGCTTTTAGGCTAGGAATTATGCTTACCTATGCTCAGACTAGGAATTAAGCTTACCCATGCTCTTAGACTAGAAATCATGCTTACCCATACTCCTAGACTAGAAATTATGCTTACACATGATCTTAGACTAAGAATTATGCTTAAATATGCTCTTAGACTAAGAATTAAGCTTACCCATGCTCTTAGACTAGAAATCATGCTTACACATGCTCTTAGACTAGGAATTATGCTTACCCGTGCACTTAGACTAGGAATTATGCTTAAACAGGCTCTTAGACTAGGAATTATGCTTAAACGTGCTCTTAGACTAGGAATTATGCTTACCCGTGCACTTAGACTAGGAATTATGCTTAAACAGGCTCTTAGACTAGAAATTATGCTTAAACGTGCTCTTAGACTAGGAATTATGCTTAAACGTGCTCTTAGACTAGGAATTATGCATAAACATGCTCTTAGACTAGGAATTATGTTTATACAAGCTCTTAGACTAGGAATTATGCTTACACCTGCTCTTAGACTAGGAATTATGCTTACACCTGCTCTTAGACTAGGAATTAAGTTAATACTTGCTTTTAAACTAGGAATTAAGCTTACCCATGCTCTTAAACTAAGAATTATGCTTACACTTGCTCTTAGGCTAGGAATTAGCTTACACTTGCTCTTAGACTATGAATTATGCTTACCCATGCTCTTAGACTAGGAATTAAGTTAATACTTGCTTTTAAACTAGGAATTATGCTTACACTTGCTCTTAGACTATGAATTATGCTTACCCATGCTCTTAGACTAGGAATTAAGTTAATACTTGCTTTTAAACTAGGAATTATGCTTACACTTGCTCTTAGACTAGGAATTATGCTTACCCATGCTCTTTGACTAGGAATAAGGCTTATACTTGCTCTTAGACTAGGAATTATGTTTATGCACACTCTTAGACTAGGAACTACTTTTATGCTTGCTTTCAGGCTAGGATTTATGCTTTTACATGCTCTTAGATTAGAAATTATGCTTAAAGGTGCTTTTAGAATTATGCTTCTTTATGCTCCTAGACAAGAAATTATGCTTACCCATGCTCTTAGACTATGAATTATGCTTATACATGCTGATATAGAAAGATCTATTTGTTTATGCTGAGAAATTAGCCAACAAGAAGGAGAGTTGTCTCTCTCACTTTTATTATCTTTGTCTCTGTGTCTCTGTCACTGCCTTCTCTCTCTCTCTCTCTCTCTCTCTCTCTCTCTCTCTCTCTCTCTCTCTCTCTCTCTCTCTCTCTCTCTCTCTCTCTCTCTCTCTGCCTGCCTGCCTGCCTGCCTGCCTGTCTGACTGTCTGTCTGTCTGTCTGTCTGTCTGTCTGTCTGTCTGTCTGTCTGTCTGTCTGTCTGTCTGTTTGTCACTCACTCACTGAAACACACAAACACCAGTGCTAAAAAAAAAAAACCGCTGTAACTGTCGCAGAACATGTGGTTAAGTATTCCTCGTATTTGTTACATTTTCACAGTCTAATTACCACATATTCCATACATCCCTATGATCTAAATAGTAAATAGTTCAGTCATTTTTCTCTTTTATTTCTAACCATTGTTTGAACCATAAAACACTGGCCAGGTATGTACACTGTGCCAATTTTGTAAAAACCTGTACTCTACTTTAGGAGGCTGCGACGCCCACCAACATAAACGACGTTTCTGAAGATGCACCTAAAAGAGAAAACCTTCCTACAGAACCGTCCCCAACCTTGAGGTTGTGTATGTCAATGCCAGATAATGTGCAGAAGGATCTCGGAGACCTCATGGAGGCAGATCTCTTTGCTCATGCTCAGGATTTAGCCAACAAGAAGGAGAGCCGTTCAGATGTAAGATTTTGGTTTGATGGTTCAGGGAATTATGTAGACTGACTGATTGACCTTTCACCCCACCAGGACATCACACAAGCGTTAAACACCCTGTGACACACAGTGCCACCATGCGGATGAGGATACTCATGGAGAGGTCCCATGAATCCCTTTCAGCCGTGAGACCATATCTATGGCTAGGCCATATTTATGGCCCGGCTATATTTAGAGCCCTCGGCAGAAGCCAGGGTGGGGCTTAAGATAATGAAAAATTGCATCCCACATGCGGACGACTTTGATATTATGTAGAATTTTCTGTAGTGGGCAGATTTAAAAGTTGCTGTTATTGGAACGACTATTTAAAAGTTGGCTTGGAAATATTTAAAAGTTGCTATAATGGGACGAGTGGCGTCCATGGCTTAGGCGTTGCGAGTCTGACTTGTAATTCCAACGTACCGCGATCAAAACCCAATGCTGGCTGCATGGATTTTTATCATGGTATGGAGCGTCGCAGGTCGACCCGGCCTAAAATGGGTACTAGGATGTATATCCTGGGGAAGTAAAGATGGCCGGCGTAATGCTGACCACATTACACATCTAGTGCTGATTGGTCTGTAAAAATATAGGGTGCTCTTCTGATATGCCCGATGTGCCTAAAGGCGTGAAAAGGGCTCTTTACTTTTATAATGAGAAGAAATACTTTAAAAAGTTGCCATGATTGGTACACGTTGTCTGGACCATGAACAGCCCTAAAATGAGTACCGGGAACTGATCTGAGCAATACAGTTGAAGTTAAAAGTTAAAATCGATAGGATCGACTTCATTGCAATGGGGTTTATCTCATATGGCTCAGTGTAAATCCACAGAGCTGCACACAAAACACAGACTCCATAGCTCTAGCAAAAGTCCCCAGGGATGTCCTTAAAAAATGCACCCGTGAATGAAACGATCTTTTCTGTGGGAAACATAGGTGTGTTGGGAAATGAACAGCCAGACACATTGACTGGTGCAGCACTGAGTTGTTAATTAATGCATCACAAGCTAGATGTGGTCAAGCCACTTTTAGGAGCAAGTGAACAATGTGGAATGGCAAATAGATCATTACAGTGTTGAGAGAATGGAGCAAGTAAACAATGCGGGTGGGCAAATAGATCATTTAAGTGTTGAGAGAATGGAGCAAGTAAACAATGCGGGCGGGCAAATAGATCATTTAAGTGTTGAGAGAATGGAGCAAGTAAACAATGCGGGTGGGCAAATAGATCATTACAGTGTTGAGAGAATGGAGCAAGTAAACAATGCGGGTGGGCAAATAGATCATTTAAGTGTTGAGAGAATGGAGCAAGTAAACAATGCGGGTGGGCAAATAGATCATTTAAGTGTTGAGAGAATGGAGCAAGTAAACAATGCGGGTGGGCAAATAGATCATTACAGTGTTGAGAGAATGGAGCAAGTAAACAATGCAGGTGGGCAAATAGATCATTACAGTGTTGAGAGAATGGAGCAAGTAAACAATGCGGGTGGGCAAATAGATCATTACAGTGTTGAGAGAATGGAGCAACTAGGAGTGACCAGAGGATTTGGCGGTTGCTTTACACTCGGAAGAGTGAAGGCAAGATGGACATACAATCAAACTGCTTGGGAACTCATCGCTGGCTGCAGAAGATGGGGACCGAGCACTTATGAGAATATCCAGAGTTAATGTTGGTTGTTACCTCAGTAGCCATAACAATCTGGCATACTATGCCCTATGCGACACTAACAGAAAAAGGATCATCTACTCACCGTTTTCTTCTTTACTTCTTCTGTCCCCCAATAGAGCATAGGCCCTTAACCAGTTCGTGCCAAGTCATTCTCTGCTTCGCTATTTCATGCAGCTCACGCCGCATCTTTTCAACTTCACTCTCTAGTTCTCTTCTCCTTGTATTTTTTGGTCTGCCTTTATTTTTTTCCCCTGCGGAATCCAGTGAAAAGCCAGTCTAGCTATATTGTTCTCAGGTTTTCTCATCTTATATCCTATCCAACGCCAGCGTCTTTTCTTCACCTCTTGGTCCACTGGAACTTGTTTAGTTCTCTCCCAAAGCTCAACTGTTTTCTCACTATATACAAACACATCTTAAGTTGGGAGGGGGGGGGGGGGGGGGGGGGGGGGGCTATGCTTTTTGTTTACTTTCACAAGGGAATAATATGCATTTTCAAATATGTGAAAGCATGAAAGGAAATATCTAATAGTTTTGAACAGTTATAAGAAAATATATTACCTAATCATAGCACATGTTTGGTCACAACCTGAGCATTTTGTTTAGTTTTCAAGTTTTCCTAATCATCATCATCATCATCCGATTCTTGCCAAAATAGTTGCCAGCTGGGTTTAAAGAAAACAATTGAGTTGAATATAGTTAGTGCATGTTGAGAACATAGCAGTTCTGCCAGCTTTTGTGTCTGCATGGTGCATGCTTGCATACATTCACAAATCCTTTTAAATGCACAAAGACATTACTAAAATCATGGTTCACTTGAGTGCAAGCAATAGAGGGTGATTCGCTCTTGTAGCACTGAACAACTCACTGTATGTCTCTTGTTTATTTGAAAAACTATAATGTTATGCTCCTCATACGTCTCTTACAGACATCTTATGTTGATCCTTTATATCAGAATTATTGGTTTGTGTCTGAATTATGTGGGAGTCGCCTTGGCATAGCGGCTAGACCCTCGCATGCGGATCGGAAGGTTGTGGGTTTGCTCCCTGGCGGAGCCGGATTTTTTCAAAAATGACCTTGACTCCCAGGTCCACCCAGCTTTGAGTGGGTACTGGGTGCAGTCTCGGGAAGTTAAGGCAGCTCATTGGTCTTTAAAAATATATGTCTAGCCCTATGTACCCTATACACCTAAAGGCGTGAAAAAGGCACCTTCACCTTTACTGTCTGAATAATGTATTTCATTACTTTAGTCCCTTAATATTGTTGTTGAACTTGTTGATACCTAATTATGTATTTACCTTTAAGCTCAACTCCTTGGGATGGGAGGAGTTAATGGTCAATTGCTTGCATAAGACTGAAAGAATTGAAGGTGAGAGGCATCGGATTTGATCCCATATAGTCTCTCCTCCTTCTTAGAGTTCACTGGCTGTAAAAACTGGCAGAAAGTTCTACTTGTTTGTCCGATTCTGGACTTCATTCTTGTTACTGAACTTTAATTTTGGATGCACATCCATTTTACAGACCTGGCTTATCTTATCTATATGCAGACTATTGATTCCTCACCTCTCAGGCCCATGCATTCTAACTTCGAAGGAAACACCCATAATTGGTCAACTCTTATGCTTGTTAAAGTGGGAGTGGGTCTATTCTTTTTTTTCTTGCAAGGCTCCAGAACAAGTGCAGGAAATCCTATGTAGTAAAGTTCTGCTACAGAGCAGCTTTTCCCCAGCTGAGAATGGTTGAAACTCCTTAGCTCCAGCAGCAAATCCTTGGGAATGGTTGTTAACATGGAACAGCAAATCCTTGGGAAATGGTTGTTCACATGGAACAGCAAATCCTTGGGAATGGTTGTTTACATGGAACAGCAAATCCTTGGAAATGGTTGTTGCATTTGGAACAGCAAATCCTTGGAAATGGTTGTTGCATTTGGAACAGCAAATTCTTGGAAATGGTTGTTGCATATGGAACATCAAATCCTTGAGAAATGGTTGTTGCAAATGAAACAGCAAATTCTTAGGAATGGTTGTTACATATGAAACAGCAAATTCCTTGGGAATGGTTATTGCATATGGAAAAGCAAATCCTTGGGAATGGTTGTTGCAAATGGAACTGCAAATCCTTGAAAATAGTTGTTGCATATGTAACAGCAGATCCTTGGGAATTGTTGTTGCATGTGAAACGACAAATCCTTGTGAATGGTTGTTACATATGGAATAGCAAATCCTTAGGAAAGGTTGCTACATATAGAACAGCAAATCCTTGGGAATGATTGTTGCATATGGAACAGCAAATCCTTAGGAATGGTTGTTACATATAGAACAGCAAATTCTTGGGAAATGTTGTTACATATAGAACAGCAAATCCTTGAGAATGGTTGTTGCATATGGAACAGCAGAGTCAAAAACTGAGCCCACAACCTTTTAAAGCGCAACTAAAATGACCTAACCTAACCATATTGCCATGGAGACATCCCCCCCCACACACACACACACACAAATATGCACGCACACACACACACAATTACTGCAACATTCTCATCATACTGTCTTGTAAATCTAGATTTGTAGTTGAAATAAAAAAGATCATATAATTTTTGTTTCAGACTGTTATTTGTTCCAAGAAGAAAACTAAATTCAGGCTAGAACCTCGATCACCCGACCCAGAAACGCCAGAGTGGGACTGGAGTGATGAAGATGATGACACTGATGACAATGCCAAGAAGAAGGACAAATCTTCCAAGAGAACCAGTCCAAAGGTTAGACTTTGTTCTTTTCACAATTTCAGCACAGTCCACACACTTTATTTCAATGATCTCAGTGTAGCCTAATGGTAATGAGGGAGAGTTTGGAGGCTGTAGAGGTGTGGTTTTTGAGACACACATTGCTATTAAATGTTAATAACTGAAAGAAATGGTAACGGTTGCTTCAAAGTAGGGAAATGTCTGGACACCCACTGTTATCAACAGTCATAATACAAAGGAGATGGTGCTTTAAACAGAGACTTACTAAACAGCCACTTAAACGGGAAACAAATGAATAGAAGAAAAAAGGACCTCCTAGAGATGAATATTGATGTGACAGACCAAAGATGTCTGGGCTTGATTCCATCCACAATATGAAACCAAAAAATTACATAGGACGGAGTGGGGGAATAGACTTCTTCTTCGCGTTCATTAGCAGTAAACTCCAATAGAAATTTAGTTAGTTATTTGGGTTATCATCATTGCACTCCGGACATGTCCATAGGTGCTCAGATCCTCCCCTCAGTATGAACCTCAACATCCAATGCTAATAGTACCAGTTCTGTGTTGATTAACAAGTCGTCTGGTGTGGGTCTTGTTTTTTGCTGCATGCCGATCTTAATTCCCAAGTCTTCCATTCTTGCGAGTGATGTGAATTCACTGCCCTCAGAGTCCTCTCCGATGGAAAGTTCTGATTGTTAGTTCACCTCTGACTCAAGTCTTGTTCCAGGACCTGAGTGTTTCAACATCTGTTTTACACATCTGGCTTACTTGTGTGCATTCTGACTTCGAAGGATGACCCCAGTTAGTCGACTCCTACGACATCCTTGTTGGGGAGGCAGTGAGTCTATTTTTCTTTTCCCCCTCACAATGGGGCCCCGGAGCCCACACTGGGGGAGGGAAGAGAATATGAGGCCTATGTGATATATAACGACACAACAGGAAGGTGATGATTAAGTTAGATTGTAATTTTCATTACATTTGGTTGTTTATCCTCTCTGACGAATTATTGTTACAAATCATCAGGCATCTTTGAAAATCAGTGTCAAGAATTTACCAGGGGTGAACACCCAGACAGCCATCTCAAGGCCCACTGTCGGGCATCCAGACCTGACACCGACTGAGGAGACCAATCAGGGCGGCCAGGCATTGGATGGGGAGGTCATGAAACTGAACCTCCCTGTCAACGTAGAGAAGGCTCTGCTGAAACAGCAGGAGAGTCAAGGTTATGATGTCCGAGACACCAAAGGGGAATCTCTTATCTCTGAAGAGGAGAGAGATTCCTTGTCAAAGTTGCCCTTTAGGAAGACAAATCCAATTCACATTAAAGGGAATCAGTCGGGAGGTAAATAGGTTTTCTTTTGCCTTTTTATTATGTTGTTATTTTATTGTTATTATATAATTTTATGTATACAAGCAGTAGTAATACCACATCTGTTAACAACTTCATGCTTCTATAAATAGAACTCTCTATTAACAACAGTAATACCACTTCTGTTAACCACTTCATGTTTCTTTATATATAACTCTAGCAACAGTAATACCACTTCTGTTAACCACTTAATACTTCTTTATATACAGCTCTAACAATAGTAATGCCGCTTATGTTAACCATCTCATACTTCTTCATCTACAACTCTGAAAACGTAATACCAGTTCTGTTAACTATCTCACACTTCTTCATATTCATAACTCTAATGATAGTAATACCACTTCTGTTAACCATCCCATACTTTGATCACTTCATACTTCTTCAAATACCTTTCTAACAAGAGTAATATTGGTTCTGTTAACCATCTCATACTTTTTTATATACAATTCTAACTACAGTAATACCACTTCTGTTAACCATCTCATACTTCATTATATACAACTGTAACAACTTTACAGCAGTAATACCACTTGTGTTAACCATCTCACACCACTTCATATAATTCTCCAACAAAGGTATTATCGCTTCTGTTAACTACCTCATATTATTCTTTCTTTCAGTCACTAATAGTCTTAAATTCAGCAGTGTCTTCGCTAAAGTTTTTGTATCTTAGAACAACATAGAATTGAAAATTACAGCTGGGACAAACAAACTTTATTTCCAAAGGGTTGCAAAGTTTGTTTGTTCATTTGTACAGTTTTGCAAACACCCATCTTTCATGTAAACACCAGTTTTTAAGCATTAATCTTTTATCCTCATTTATGCAATATTACAAGTGAGGGACAGTCTGAGATAAAACTGGCAAAAGTAATAGTTATTATACAGAAGTTAAAAAATGTATACCATGTATAGAAAAGCCAGTAAAAGTATAGTGAGGTGCTTGGCACTGAAAGAGTTAATTGTAATCTCAGAGGTGAGTTTAGTTGAGTTAAGAACTGACATCACAGCATTTAGGACATTCCCATAAGTGCTCCATCTAAGTCTTCAGCAGCTTTCTGAGAGTTTCAATTCTGATGGAGCTAGTCTGGTTCTTTGTCCATCTTGCCTTTTCCCTGAGTGTTGGGACGGTGATGATGTATTTGTGCATTCCTAGAGGTCCTTGACACCATCTGGCCGGCTGTGCATCAGTCTACCCCTCCCCAGTGGTGCAGCACCAGCCAGTCTATCAGCCTGTTTGTTTCCCTGAATGTTGGGACGGTGATGATGTATTTGTGCATTCCTAGAGGTTCTTGATACTATCTGGCCTGCTGTGCATCAGTCTACCCCTCCCCTTCTCCCCCCCCCCCCCCCCCCCATTGGTGCAGCCAGTCTATCAGCCTGTTTGTTTCCCTGAGTGTTGGGACGGTGATGATGTATTTGTGCATTCCTAGAGGTCCTTGACACCATCTGGCCTGCTGTGGATCAGTCTACCCCTCCCCTTCTCCCCCCATTGGTGCAGCCAGTCTATCAGCCTGTTTGTTTCCCTGAGTGTTGGGACGGTGATGATGTATTTGTGCATTCCTAGAGGTCCTTGACACCATCTGGCCGGCTGTGCATCAGTCTACCCCTCCCCTTCTCCCCCCAGTGGTGCAGCACCAGCCAGTCTGTTTGTTTCCCTGAATGTTGAGACAGTGATGATGTATTTGTGCATTGTTCACCCATTTCCCAGATGCCCTTGACACCATTTGGCCTGTTATGCAACAATCTAACCCCCCCCCCCCCCCCCCCCCCCCCCCACCCCTTCCTCATTTGTTTCCCTGCACAACTCAGAGAAAAGATCCAGTGGACACTAACTGTCTGAGACTTCTAAAGCAACACTTACATTTTATAATCTGATGATGATGTTTTAATAAAAAGGAACATCTGGATTGCTGTTTTGTTTTCTTCTATTTTTTTTATGTAGAAGAAGCCAGAACAGCTAATCGAGAAAGTCTGTTCAATGAATTACAGTACCTTAGTGGAAGTTATTTGCTATGAAAATTTGTTGAATTTCCACATATTTTTTTTTTTGCACAAAAGTCCTCAACATAAAATGTTTAATGATCTATTTACAATTATTTTGCTCATTTATCATTGTTTCAAGGCTATGCTATTTTTTGCTATATACAGCAGATAACATTTTGCAGGGTTAAAATAATTATCACTAGACGAGAGAGAGGGTTACGCATTCCAGCAGTAGAGAGAAAGTTGGAATGAGGCTATGTCTGGATTATATTTACAGATAAAGAATGAAATGGTTTGGTCATCTAGTGAGAATACAGCAAGACCAGACTGCATGTAAAACTGGGAGGAAGGCGAGAGGAAGACCAAGAAAGAGATGGATATATGATGTAGATAAAACCTGCAAAAAAAAAGTTGAACCAATCCATCACTAAAGCCGCCCGAGAAGCGCAAGACAAATTAGAGGGTTACAACCTGGTAACAGTGAGACGACAGAAGAAGAAGAAAATATTGTCTAGTCTAAGCAATACAAAGAAACATAACACTTTAAGAGAACTACAGTTTATGAATGATTGCAAATTATAAAATCAGGGGAAAATGTAGAGAAAATATGTGCACAAATTCATTCTCATTTATCTGTGCTGGGGTATAGTAGACAATAAAGGCAATTTGAAGACACATCATTCTCAGCAATGATTGTAGTAGATGTTCTGTGCAGATCTTTACAAAATTGTTGCTTGATGATTCCAGAGACCTCGCTAGGTGGCGCTGATGATAAACGCAGTCGAAGTTTGGAGGATAGTGACATTGCGGCAAAGTCTGACATTGATGGTTAGTATGTGCTTGTTTGTTTTATTTTTCTGTCTGTCTGTTTATTCATTCATTTAGGCTTATGTCTGTCTGCCTATAAGGAATAGTTAGTTAGTTAGTTAGTTAGTTGCAAATCTTTTACAGGACATCGCAGAACCAACCCCAGCATTATTTTGGCTGTTGTGGTTTTTCAAGGCATATTTACATTCAGTAGTTGCTATAAGGCATAATAAGCAAATGAAAACTATAAGTAACAAAGTCAATTAAATTTACCTTTTTTCCACATCTTCAAACGTATTAAGCAATAAGGCCTAAACCTATATATTATAGACCAATCTGTACTCAAAAAGTGATGCGGTCAGCATCACGCCGGCCTCCTTAACTTCCCAGGACTGCACCTGGTACCCACTCAAGAATGGATTGATCTGGGAGCCAAGGTCATTTTTGAAAAATGTCTGGTTCTATAAGGACGCAGGACGCGAACCCACAACCTTCCGATCTGCAGGGGAGCGTCTAGCCACTGCACCATAGAATAGAACCAGGACTTTATTCATTTATTCATTTATTATTTTATAAATCCCTTGCAGATTTTCTGGAAGTCATTTGATCACACCCAGTATTTTTGTAATTTACTAATGTAATCATGTTTACACTGGACCGAAAAATTTTTATATTCAGTTGATTATATTTAAAATATATTTGAAATAAAATGAAATGTACAAAGAATACTTAAAAAGAGAATGTCTGTGCATGGTGGGAGGGGGGAAGGGGGGGGAGGGGTTGATTCCTTACATTCTGGAAGTAATTTGATAACACCTAGTATATTTGTAGATCCCTAATTTAATGTTCACACTGTAGGCTGGAACATTTTTTGTATTCAGTTAAAGACCAAGTAAAGAAAGAAATGTGTTTTT